AGGTCTATGCAGCGAAGGCGGCAGCAGGTTAGTTCAGTCTCTTGCCTTAAATGGCCGCGTGCGGCAGACAAAAGCGCATGAAAAATTCATTGGGATCCGTCGGAAGCGAAAGTTTAACGTCAGGACAGCGACAACAACAAGGACCACAGGCGCTATAGCACATATAGTATAGCCAGAGCTAGTCCTAAACGTCCATCGTTAGGTGTAACGAGGTGTGTGCCCCTGTGTGTTTGTGTGTGCTACCGTGTGATGGCATTGTGACTGTGTCGGTGGTGTTGTTATAAAAACACAACAACAATTGAATGCCAAATTGAAAGTGGTTGACAGGCAACTGGAAAAACAACAGCATTGGCAATAATATCGAGTGTCCTTTCGGCCAAGGCAAAGTGAAAGCAATACTCACCCGAAAAATAGAGAAAACACATACAAGGGCGATAAAAACAAGAAAAAACAACTGGCAATTGCCGAAAGTTTATTATTTTTCCATTGATTTCGAGGCAAATAAAGTGCGCAACAATTTCGAAAATATATTGAACTAGGTTAGGGTTTCCATGGAAGGCTGTGGAGTGGGACATCAAACGTTTAAATACAAATTAGTTGGGCATGTGTTCCAATAAATTTGATTTCCCCCTCATGTCATGCCTACTCTTTCAGCCCCACATCGTTCTGTCTCTTTCAGTGTTCAGTTTTCAACAACTTTTTGACATGTGGCATACATTTGGGGATTCGTGGAAATTAATTTCCGAAGTTTTTGCTTTCTGTGCCGATGTATTTTTCCTTTTTTGTGGTGTATTGACAGCGAGTTCATTTTCCAGGCTCTGATTTTGGCCCCGACCGCGTTTGGTTAATTAAGCCACCGAAGTCGCCGAAAAGCGATTTGAAGGCAGGATGATCAGGCGATGATTAAAAAAAAACTGGATGACACCGTCAAGGTTTCGGGGAAGTTAAATGGGAAAACTTTAATTGCCAGAACGGTCGTGGAAACTTTTTGAGCTGGTGGACAAATAGGTTGTACTTTTTAATTTAAATCTGATTAAGTTTCTCCGAAAGTTTTCTCCAGTCAGTCAATTTAATTCTCTGCAGAACAAGTTGGGAACAACACATTGACCCTAAAATACTTTGTATTTAACCATGTTTTCTTAGTACCCTACAAACATAGTTTACGTTCCGGCGTAATCTTGGGTACCACTGATATAATAAGGGTTTTAGTAAAGGTGTCAAAAAGTATGCTCTTGCTGACATACATCTTGTAGTCCGTATTTTTTTAGCTGCATACTTTTGGGTACCTTAATCAGAGATTTGAAAGCCCTCTTGAATACTGTTTTACTTATTTCTTATTTCATTACAAATTAATGGTTTAATGTAATTAAAGACTGTATATTAAAAAAGCGGCACTGTCCTTAAAAGCGTTTATGTCTTTTCTGCATACGCAAATGATATTCTATTACAAACCTGTGTTTTCATTTTATTACGTTCAAAAGTTTTATAATCCATTTCCACACATTACGAATTTATGTCCCAAAAGTTGGCAAACGCTGTTGCAACCAAACGACTAAAAATGTATACACATAAAAATGTATATACTTCGTTTTGTATTTACATTATTCTAACGCCATTAAAGTCATTAGTTGCTTAAAATATTCTTCAAGGCAGAAAACATTAAAATGATTAAAAATTCCCTTTTATATAAACGAGTTGGCAGAAAATGACACATATTTATTTACCAATCATTTTGCAAATTTATTGGCTAGCAAAGGGAGGGAACGTCAATATAATACACATAAAATCAGAACGACAGCTGCTTATTTTGCATTTATTTTATCGATAAGATAACAAATAAAATATATGTTTCCTGTGTTTTATGATAATGATAAGATAACTTACGAAATAAAAGAATTGAAACTAATCAAGCTGAATAATGCATAAAGCTAACAAAAAAACAGCAGTTAATCATTTATATAAATTAATCAATAATAATAATAATATAAGAAATCATAGTGAAGCATTTCGGGAAACTGTAGAAATCAATGTATTTTATTTCACATTTATTACAGAACAGTTATAAACTCTAATCAAGAAAATAGAGATCCCGTATCTAACCCATTTGCGCAATATTAAATGAGGCCCGAGGGAATCAATGAAAATGGTATTCTATTGGTTGCTACTTATCAAAGTTCAAAAATCCCCCAATCCAATTAATTAGATATTTGATTGGCACATAAAGTGTCACCATTTCAGGAAATTTCAATTTAACGAACCTTATTTCCGACCGTTTTTATAAATTTATGACCACCGAAAAGTAGGCAGCTTCGATGAAATTTTAATGAAATTAGACCGGCAACCGATTTCCGCAATTTTCAATTGTAAAACGCCTATTCAGGGAACAATTGAGGGAATGGCAGTGGGTAGTTAGGGTTGGCCTAGCCGCAGTTTATGGCATTTTAATCATTTAAGAATGCTCTTGCTCTTTGCAGTCAACATGCAAATTGCCTGCGCCGGACCCGGACACCGGACCTACCCAACTCGCAGTCGAACCCAGGAGCAGAATCCGCATCCACAGTCATTGCCATCATCAGGATCCTCATCATCATCGCTATCATCATCGTTGGAGGCAGTGGAACGAAAACGCACCGTACAGCCAACAGGGGCGCAATAAAAATTGCCTATAAATGGGCGGAAGTGCCAGAGGCGTGGGGCGGCAGGGGCAGGATGTGCCACGCACAAGGACGTTGAGGGGGGTTGGCAAACAGCGGCACAACAAAGCCAAACTTCCGCATAGGATGCGACCGAACGGAAGTTATTTTGGCCGCCTGAACGTGAGCGCGCTGCTCATCTACTTGTGGTGCTATCTGCTCCTGATAATGGCAGCATCTGGCGGCAGCAACAACGTGGTAAACGGCCTCAAATGCTACTGCAATCCGAAGGAGTGCGACGTCATCCGCTCGCCCGACTGCCCCGGAAAAGGACTTATGCTCTGGGATCCCTGCAAGTAAGTCGACGCTCCCTGCACTCCAATTAAAAGGATATTTTCCGGATGGCGGATAGGAGTACCATACCATTAGGAGTGCCCTCGTGCGTATATATCATCCATTTTATAGCCAGTCCAAGCGGAGAAATTGATATTAGGTTTTAATTCAGGGATTTTATTTTCATTCCTTGCGTACATGTTTAAAGTATTCTCAGTATTTCGTTTAACTTTTCTAGGAACAAGGCGAATTTTTATTTTTAAATAAGTTATTTTACCTTTAATTAGCTTAAATAATGTACAGAAAATGTTAATTAGTTTTTGTCTAGGCGAGTTACAGCTAATTACCTATTTTGAATTGCAAATATTTGAATTACAAATTCTGACCTATATATTCTTGCCATGTTTTTTCTTACTTTTGAATTTTTTATCCATCAAGTCAATTAGAAAACATTTGAACTTCTCTATTTTAGTTGCTAAAATAAACAGGTTGACTAGCTTAACTTTTTCCAAACTCACTTGTTGTGCTTATTTAATCTGCAAACGAACTGAACTTATTTTCATTATATTAGCATTTTATAGTAGAGGTCGAAACAATAGCAAACAATTCAATTGGGCATAATTCGGAAGCTTTGGTGATTATCAGCACAATTACCAAACATTTTTATAACACTTTTATTCACTAATTGCGCAAATTTTGTCTTGCTACCTACTTATGGCCAACATTATAATCAACTTATCATTAACGAGTTTGTTGGCTCGCTGAAATTTTTAAATTGTTTAAAGTTATGTGTGAAACAATTTTAATTCCTAATTGAATTGGCTACCAGAAAGCAATAAGCAAATATTTACATAAAATTAAAAATTAATTATTATTAATGTTTCCACACAGCGCCTGATCATATAATTCGATTTAAATTGATTTCATACAAATAGTAGCATTCATAGCTGTATTTTTCCCCAAAATAACGTATAATTATGAGTACTTTTGATTAATATAGAACAGAGATGCCACAAATTCTTAACCAAGCCATGACCTCAATAATTGGCAATGATATAATTAAGAGAGTCAGGCATCAGGGCATCTAAATTCCAATCCGATTCGCATCGTGAGTCACGTCCTGCTTAGGAATTCACATCAGGCACCCACCCAACCGTCCCCACATCACAATAGAGAGTGTTAACTAATTGTTAACGCTTATCGAAACCAAGACGAAATCGAATCAATTACCACTGGGATTGATCCATTCACTCCATCTCCATTGCGCGGATTATGCTCATATATATATCATATACATCCAACTATTCGCAGATGTTGTCGCATATGCGCCAAAACTTTGGGCGAGTCCTGCGGCGGTCCGGGCGGATTTTCCGGTCAATGTGAGCCGCCCCTGCAGTGTGTGACCAAGCTGCCCATTAGCAGCGGATTGGGCGTGTGCATGGGTAAGTCGATGGATATGTATACATACTTTATAAACTGGGACAAATTTTCACAAATTGGTCATATAAACAGATGCGGGAAAGCTCTCACAGATCTGATTACGGAATTTGTTATCAGGGGGCTTTCAGGTATCATGTATTTAAAACAAAACCAGAACAAAGTTGTCCAAAAATCTCTTAAAAATTAAAGAGTATAAAATACAAAATCGGTATTTAGAATGTTGATTTATACCAAACGATTGTAATAATATATCGATTGAGTATATAAATCCATGTATTATTGTTTGAAATTATCCAAAATTTAGTCACGTTTTCGGAACAAAGTTAGTAATCTGATTTTTACAAAATTTTACAAATACATTTTTTCTTGTAAATACCATCTGGCAACAATATTTTTTAATATATAAATATAGAAAAATTTATTTGGAACCCATGCAGATTGCTCACATTTTTGTAAAATAAAACAATGCAGGACTTTTTCAAGTGTATATTCAGCACAAATAATAAGAGGATGGTAGTGACCCCTTGCCATAACCCTCTGGCTGGTTATGGTTATGGAGCATTTGTATTTAGTCGCATCCATTATGCATTAACATCACGTATTATAGACCACAGCGCCCTCCAATGATATGTCCGCAGCCAGTTCGGAGCGCTTCAGCATTTTCACTCGCATTTGCCACTTGGACTGCGGAGCTCCTGGCGGGAATTCGTCCGAATTGAATGTATAGTTGCGGATCTCGTACTGTATTCCCTGCATAATTTGATGGCATTGGCATCCATTCGGTTTTTGTGTGTAATCGTGTTTGGGGAATTAATGCGTCCCGGCCGTGCGGCAATTTGGAAATGAAAATGGAAAATGGTAAATGAAATAACGGCAGAATGTTGTTCAATTTTAACTAGTTTTGCTCGTCGAGAGTGCCACAACACGAAATGTTGACAAATATTTGCTTTTATTTATTGAAAGTTGCTTCCCAAAGGAAAATATTGGTCTTCCTCACGCTGGGCAGGGGGAAAGTTTTGACATCGAGCTACTAGCACAAAAAAAAAAAAACAGAAACAAACGGAAGTCCTACTTCATTAAATTGCTTTCTCCGTTTGTTGTCATCGAAACATATTTACTCTGTTTTAGTTTTGACAAGTTGGATAAACTCAAATCAACTTGTTTCGGGATAAGAGCATGAATGCTAAAGCTGTAAAATAAACTTTCCAGTAACTAAAATAAACTAAACTATGCATCAAAAAAGTGTTAGGAACTTTAAAATTGCATTAAAAATTGATATAGTTCAGTTGAAAACTTTCGCATCTGTATAACTAGTTATAAATATATTTAATTATTTTGGTTATTTTTGTTGAAACTTTAAGCATAATGTAATATAGTAAAGTTTTACTTACCTTTAGAACAGGACAACCAGCTGGTAAATTGCTGACAGACTTGAGTCTTTTGAACAGCCTGCCAACGACATTGTTTTGATACATAGAACCCAAGTAATTACAGCCATCCATCTTGAGACTCGCAATATTCATGGGGGTGTTGTCTTTCTTTAGCAAATCGAATATAATATACATATCGAAGTGATCTATCGTTTGATTCACACTAAATCTGGCCGATACTACGGGATTCCGTTTCCGCAAAAGTTGGCATTCCAATCCATTGACATATTTCAAAGATACAACTTTGCAGCTCAATGATTTGATAACAATATCATAGTTATTCTGTCGGGAAGAATTTATTAATAATATTTTCTGGTTCCAAGAGAACAAACCTTTGCCAAACCGATTTGCAGAGGAAGAAGTATAACGAAAACTAAAAACCGGAAAAACATTATGCCCGACTAAACAGGAAAATGCAAATGGGGTAGGCTTATATAGGCCTGGACTAATTCAAAATAAGCATCACCATAATCTCTTTTAATGCGCTGAGAATCAAAGTTCATTTTGGGGCTTAATGAACATTTAATATGTGGATTAATGCGCACCAACAATTTCTCTCTTCCAATCGATTTGGTGTTAATAACTTTATTTGTTTTGTTTGTGCTTTAAATAGATTTGCAGCACCTGACCGCCCTGACCTACAGTCAGCACGATAATTGTTCCGACAGCGATACGATTGTTTTGCAGCCGGGCTGCGAGATCACAAACAAACGTTGCCAGTGCTGGCCAACAATGCGCACCTGTCTCAGCGAACTGACTAGCGATGGGGGATCCCCCAGCGATTCCCGTTGGCACTTCAAGAACCTAGAGGTAGGTACAAATAATACCCCTTAAAACTTATAAGTACTGTGGCTTTCTTCCCCCCAGGACTGCCAGTTGAACTTGCAAAATCTAATTAAAATCGAACAGGAATTCGATGAAGACTACAAAATCTCACCGAGCAAATTCACATATAAAAAGCTGCGCAGAAAGCGAAAATCGTTGAGAAAACGCATGTGAGCATGGCCTTACAATTTCCTTTAAGGTTTAAAAAAAACTGTCAAACGACTTTATTTTCAGCATCATTTTGAAGGATTGAGGCTTCTGTGCGCCATTGGAAAATCATCCTCTTTCTCAGCTCTTAACTCAATAAAACCAAATGGAAAATCTCTGTACAGATAGTATGCTTACTTCTAACTTAAAATATGGCTATTATAAATAACATATATATTATATATAACAACATATACATATACAAGAGGAAAAATACATATGAGAAATAGACAAATTGTATGTATCCTAAGACATTTGTTACTTTATTGTTTTTAGAGTGCGCGTACGTATGTATAAATTTGCAATTTTTATTCCTACTGCCCCCCCGAAAACAAAATATACAAAACAATAAATGGAAAACATTTCAAGAATGTTGTTGCTTTAAAAATAACATATACAAAATGTGCAAAGTGTTGGAATTTTCCATAGGCATAAGTCAAGCCATTCAATAAACAATAAATCAGAATGACAAATTTTGCATGAAACAGCATCGAAAATATATAAGTGGCCAGAAAATAAAGCGCAAGTTGTTTTTCTTTTTTATGACTCTATTCTGCCCTGCAATGGGGTTGAATGGGTGGTTAAGTATAGATGAAAACATAACATCGAAAAAAAAACTGATTTGAATTTTATAGTGATTAACCTTTACATATCATTTAATATTTCATTTTGAACAGTAAAGCATTTTGAACGACAGTCCGTGGTTTTTTGGCCTTTTTCATTGATATTTATCGAAAGTATTTTTATCATTCACTAAAAAAATGATCCCTAGTCCTTCGTTAAAAAAGAAAAAGAAAAATTTAATTTAAAAATTTTTTAAACAGCTCAAAATATAATTGTATTGTTTCAAAATTTAACGATAAAGACCCGTAAAAACCAATGTTTTACTAAAATTAGAATCTACACAATAAGTTAAGCATCATAAAAAAATAAGGTATAGCCTTTACTACAATCATATGTTAATTTATTAATTTAAATTAATTAACATGCCTATTATGAAGAGTATTGAAGTATACTTTTTTGGTTTAACAGTAGAGGAGCTATATTTTAACAGGAAAAACTATGCAACAAGTTAAAGTGATGTAGAAAGTGTGTAGATGGCATGTAGAATTGAGGGTTCAGCTGAATGACAACAGGTGTCGCTCGAGCTGACATTCTGGCAACGCTGTGCTGAAATTGTTATTTTCTCGTACACAAATAAACCCATTGGTCAATTTGACCAATATAGCAATTAATGGGCTCAACCCTTGGAATTGTTAATGTGTTAAATAAAATAAATAGTCACTTTCACATCAACAAAATACAAACTCTTACCATTTCATAATATTTGTACTATTCTTGTAGAAGTTTTAGTAAGCCTATTAATTGTTAGATCTTGCCGATTTGCAGTATCCTGGATTTAATATCATGGATGGACTAAAAATGTATTTTTTCTAAATTAATTAGTATTATCGATCAAGTTAATATAAGATTTAAAAAGTCTTTTAAATATAAGGCAACTTAGAACTTTATTATTATCAATAATCTTATAAACGTCTACAAATTCATCATGTATTTATGGAAACCACTGACTCACCTGCCCAGTTTTTAAGCCCTAAGAACTACCAGGCGAATAAAGCAGCACTTGGAAACTCCAAACGCAAACCCCTTTGCCCCAAAAATATCGACCATCAACGGCAGTCGAGTGGGGTCAGTTCTTCATCTCGAAAAGATCAAAGATACACTTTGGCGCTTAAGTGTTTTCCCGCCACTCTCCAGCCTCATCGCCACCTATCAGCTGAAGGAGTTCGAGATATTTGTTTCGTTTTTTTTTTCAAATTGAGTTGTTATATATTTCTGTGGCTCCGTGCACTCGAGTTCGTTAGGCACCTTAGTGGAGCAAACAAAAGCAATTAGACGGCGTCATCTGACAGCCTCAATGGAATAGTTTTCGGGCCAAATGCCGGAGGAATGCCGCAGAGCATTTATCGATCGCCCTCTGATGGGATGTCCAACTGCCAATGAGACCGGGTTGAATAAAAATAAGTGAAACAAACCAGACGAGACGAGGGGGGGGGCCACTGTGTCCAGGGCGGGGAACAAAAGAGTTCGAGTGCGGAGGAGTGAGGTGTTAAAAATTCTACTCTTTATGCTCCTATTATGATTTGACTCGCTTCTTTTGGACTTTGATGGACGTTTACGATATGGAAAATCTGTGTGTGCACTAACAAAAAATTGTTATAGCCAGTTAAAATTTTATTTCCTTTTTTCTATTTTTTAAATAAAAAAATAAAAATAAAATAAAGCCGAGGTTTATTTGAAAACTCCTTTGAATTCCCCTCGAAAAAATGTTTTCTTTTAAAAATATTGTTTTTATAAAATATTTAATTATTGATTAGATGTTGGAAGATTTCCGTCTTGTCAATTACAAATGTTTAAATAAAAATATATCTATAAAAAATTATATATGTATTAAATACTGTTTATAATAATAGCATAATTCTGAACTAAGAAATCGTAGAATTCCATAAAATTTCCTAGCTTGTTTCCCTATTTTTTCCAGTATATATGTGTGCGTGGAGATTTATAAATCTTTTCAGCTTTTGTCTCACTTGTTTGACAAGCGATGCGTACAAATCAAAGCAGGAATCCAGAGTCAGGGGCCCCAAGCCCCGACTCGTCTGTTGTTTGATTAATAGCCGCACAATTGATATGTTAAGTGGTAAATTACGCCATTGGCACGCAAATGTATCTTCAAGATACATGCGTTTGTGTGTAGACAAAAACCTGGGCAAATTGTTGTTTGTTTAAGGCGCCGCTTTGGATGGAGATAAAAATCTCGGGGCTGCGCTATGGAGTCTCTGGAAAGGCGGAGCCTAAAGTGCGTAAAGTGATTTAATTTTGAATGGACGTCGGAGAAAGTTCATAAAACACATTGACTCGCTGGCCGGCATACAATTATTCAATTATTTGGTTGACTTTTCTGGTGGAAGAAAAGCTTGGCATTTTTAACAAGGTTCGTTCGTTGGCTTAAATTTAAACCCATTAGTCTACTTTTAACACGGTTTCAGGGAGTCTCTGCTTGTTGTTTTTACGGTCCCGTTTATATGTTTAAATAAAACGAAAAACAACACCGAATCGAGGCGAACAGAAAATCCATTAAAGCCTTTTTGTATATTAGAAAAGCGAGACAATGGGGAGGGAGTTCGATTGATGTCATTAAATTTTTGCCACGCCATAAAATTCAACGAATTTTCGTTGTTGTTTTATTGAAAAGCCGCCGTAGAAGTGTTATAAAAATCATTTAAAAGCCGAGTTTGCCGTAGGTTTGATGATTTTTTTGTGGTCTCTGTTTTGTTTTTACTGCACGAAGCCTTCGCTCATGCTCAACTAAAATGATTTAATTTCGAAACGTGCCTTGCAAATTTTATGATCAATTTTCGCTTTAAATATAGATTGAATGCCTCGTCGAATTATTTAAATGTGACTCTGGCTTTTTTTTTATTCCGTTCTTTTGTTTTTGCCTTGTTTCGGGTATCATGTGACGAAGAGGCTTTATTGGAATGCAAAATTGAAGGAGGGAGCAGCTTTTCGATGATCAGCAACGCGTTGAAGTATTGGAAATTTTATGGATTTGATTTACGATATTTTAATAGAACAGTGATTTATGGGCGGTAAAATAAGTCACACGGTTTTTGGGATCAGCGCGTATACGCATTGTATGATTTAAGTAGGAAATTGTTAATAGAATATTACATTTGAAGTCTTAGTATTTAATTTTTTGAAAATATATTTTTTTTTAAATAATATGAGTAAGACTACTATATATATTTCGATCGATATTATTACCCATTACTGCTCTTGTCAATATCAATCTTCTTTTGTTAATTCGGTTTCGATTATTTCAACTCAAAGCCGATGAAGTTGACTTCATTTCCATTTCTATTGAGGCATTGATCTCTCGCTCTGCCTCATAAATAAACTGTGGCAAATTCTCTAAGCCAACTCGCTGAAGGCCCATAAATTATAAGGCGAAAAGCAACAACTAAGGAGGCCAATGTGGTTGTTGTGTCATTTTCTCGGCGCGCTTAATAAACTACACACACTTTATGCGATCTGTGGTTCCTGTTGTTGTGGCCTGCCGATTGCTGTTATATGATTTCATATATCATCGGAGCCAAGGAGGACCCTCCTCTGCTTCTTCGTTTTGTATCTTTTTTTATTTCGCAGAGTTCAGAATGCGCAGGCGTGCGGCATTTAGTTCAGCCTGTCGACTCTCGATTGTCCCTTCTTTTTCCCTGGCCCCCCTGAATCCCCAGATTCTTCCTCAGCTTGTTTGTATATATGCTTTTTTGTTTGATAACATTTTATTGTCCGCTTT